GAGATTAAATGAACCATTGTTGAATAAAGACGTTAAATCAAATTTAACATCATCTATCGACTAATTTATTAATTAAGCTATCTTCACATGGATGGTATATATCATCGACAGTCTAAAGCTGCTGCTACAAATGCGGCTGTGCCGTTATAAAACGCTAAAATGGGATTCGAATATTTACCAAAATTACGTGATCCTCAACTTTAGTCCTAGACAGAATCAAAGCGAGCAATCAGCGTATCCTGTTATCTGAAGCATAAAATTACTCTTAGCAATCTAGGTACCTATTTACATATTACATAAGTAGTATATGAAATGAAGATTCCTAAAGGCATATAAATCATCATTAACCTCCTCGTTAGTATAGAATTATGTCTTTGTTACATTATAACAACAATCGGTCATGTAACTTTGTGTTATTGTCTCTAATTTTATTTTACTTCATAACAGGCGACAGGATTACCAGCTGTTATTTCCATTTAATTGTCTATAATAGTTTTTCAAAAACTATTGTGCGCAATTTCAAATTTGATAGCGTTCTGATACTACACATTTCAAAATAAAGTGCTCTTTTTAACATTGTCAAGATTAAGTAGAAGAATATAGATATTAGTATAATTTAAAGTGACAGTATTCACCATTCTTAATCAAATTGATAGGATGATTCTGACTAGTAGACAGTATCGTAGTAAGAGAGGTGGGAAAATAAAAGAAGAAATAATCATTGCAACGGGAAATGTTTATAGTTTGCTTTTCTTCAATAGGATTACATTATAATTGAATAACGATAGTTATTTTACCTTAACGATTGCGTTACTATAACTGTATACCATTAAAATGCCATAGAGCTGTATTCGGGACGTTGATAAAATTAGATTTTATTCAATATTATCGGAATTAACCGTTATGAAAGCCTATTTGCGCATCGCGATTTATTAAGTAATGGATTGTTGGAAATGGTGTAATACCGTCAAATAACTAGTCCCTTTACTTAAGTAATCATCAACCTGGCAACAAATAAGCCATTACAGCGATAGAATATTTTTGAGAATAAAAGAAAATGATCAGAAATAGCTGATAGGATACATCGGAAAAATCATTGTTAGAATAATAAAAGAAATTAAAGAAAAGATATCAAATATGCTTATTAATGTAACCGCCGGAAAATAGAATGAAAAGAAATTGAATCTGCTCGACGAAGGTGATTATGAAGAAAAAAGATGATCTGCAGACGTCTATTACTCAATACTATTAAATATGATAAATTTGTTGACTAGAAGATTAAGTATTATCAATGGATCATTATCCAGTGAATATTGGATATTATAGATGAATTAGGGTAATTTTTTCGTATTACGTCGGATGACACCGAGTTGTAATTGCTTCCAATAACTCTGTCTACTTTTTCATCACGATATCATGCTATTTACCAGTATGCATTTTGATACGGTGTTAGGTAAAAAAATAATATCTCAAGGACTCCTATTTGATATACTTCCATCATTCTTGACTATGCTGATTGTATATTAAGTCATACCCTACATTAGAAAGCCATACTGTTTTTTTATTATGGATTAAAAACACGAGATAGCAGCTTGATCATCAAGGTAGTCTGTGTCTAGTAAATGACGTATTTTCTTCCCCAAGTAATTAACGTCAATCCTGGCTAGAAAAATTATCAAAAGATTCAATCCATAGGGTTATATAACACTTTGCAATGATCCTTTCGTGACATAACGTGAGTTATAGTTGGAAGTGGTTTGTTTTTGAATTAATATTGTGCAAGATAATAGATGGCCACGCGTCCCATTAAATTAGACCTGCTGTCATTAACCAAATGGCGTAGGTAACAAGAAAAATATCTTAACTGTTGTTTTGTTTGGAATTTGATTGATAACAATACAGTTTTATATCCGTACTTGAGTTTCCTAACTAAGAACTAGATTGCCTCAGGCAATCTGTTGTGGTAATGTATCTTTTAATAAATTGAAACAAAACTCTCTCCCAATCTCTATATACTGAATAAGTTCAATGTGCTTATTATGGAGACAGTAGATTGGATGATGAGAAGAAGCCGACATAAACTCATCCATTTTCAATAATTTTTTTTCGCAATCATCTTTAATTATACCTTTAAAATGAATTAGCTTATCCATGATATGAAGTAGCCTAATCATAGGTGAAAGGCGATGAAAGATGTTAATCATGATAAAAGAGATCGTTGCTAATTATCGAAGCTGATCATCTATTCTTTTATCTTTTCTAACGGAATAAAGTAATTACTGCGATAGTCGATCATATCTTTACTTACAATAAACAATTTTCATCGATGATCAATCTACGCAAATGATTGATATAATTGTAAATTAGTTAAGACAGCTTTGCTTTTGTATACATGATACACATTACTGACCTAGTTTGTAAAGAGTAAGGATAGAACAGACCAGCGGGTAGTCCACGACAAACAAAACAAAAAATCACGTCTAAGTTATTAATAACTGCAGTTATTGTTAATTAGCGTATGTTTGTTTTGCCAAGATTCTTTGTCAAGTGTAAATAAACAATTTCAAGGGCTCTTAATTAGTATTAAGTCAATATCATGACAGCTTCTGTTGCGTAACAGTTAGAATAACTCTAATGTAAAATTAGAAAACGATAGATGAAGTAAACGATTAATCAATATTTTTTGTTAAATCTAAGATGCACTATTGAAGAACAACGTATGAATTGATATAGTATTAAAAATAGGGAAAGAATAAAATAGTTAGTGTAGAAAAAGTCCTTTTGCAATAATTAAAACTGATGCGATGATGTATCAATGTTGGTTAAAAGGATAATAAAGGGTAGTCTTATTATTGATTAATTGACTGTAGTTAAGGTAAAGAACACGATAGTGTTGATTTCTTTTCCGAATGAAATTAATAATTATTTTATATGCGCATAATAGAGTCAAAGAGATGATAAAAGGCCATTACAACAAGTTGACTCTATAAATATATGCCTGTAATTACCTATCAAGTATGTGTTAGTATCGACAAAAGAATGATTAAATCATCAAGCCTAGGTTACTTATAGCTTCTATTAAATATCTTCTTTAATTCTCTATATTGATTCCGGCCATTGATTATACTTGATCATAAAAACAAGATCAAATTATGTATATCTATCGATTATCTGTTCTAGTTATTCATGAAGTATAAACATTGCTTTGGCTTAGCTGCAATTGATTTTTTCTGCTCCTTTTCATTAATCATTTAGATACATTGAGAAATTTTAAAGTGTCTTTAACCACTGTATTGAACCCATACAGCTGTATTTCGATGGCTTATAGACAGCACAATGTACTATTTCAAGATAGTATATTATTGTCCATTATTACGCTATTTTATAAAAAATTAATGAAAGTTTTCATCGCAGTTAATTGTCGTCTACATTTGACACTTTATTATAATAGCTAATTCATTATTAAGAAATGTAACAAAGTATCCAAGATCAGATCTCTATTTTGCTCCAAGAATAGTTTATTATATTAGTTTTATCTCTTCGGTATATCAAAAATATGTAGAAAAATATCATAAACAATGGAAAGGAAATTTATTTTTGATAATGACGATGTCGATAAAATATTAGCTTACGGATGTGCTACTAAATTAAAACAGTATGATTAAAAATTATGAAAAAGCATGTAATCACGGTAACCTTAGCTTTTTGTTAGCTCTATAATGGTTACGGTGATGTTGTTGGATTATATTCATATTTTAAATAAAAAAGTAATCACACTATCTATTTGATTAGATTTAAGATATCGATATCATGGTAAACGAATAGCTCCTGGTTCCATGTTGTTTCTGTTTGAATAGACGAATATTTACAGACTGTCAAGTTAAATTCTCACATCTTGGTGATATGTCTTGATAGTTTGTACTAAAGCAAATAATATGGAGTATGCAGATGATAAAAAGCACCTACAAGGTCTAAACCTTAAATCAACAAATACACGATAGTTAATTAAGATAAAGTTCAAGGTAATACATAAATGATCGTATTTGCGGGCATATCGATTACTTTTGCATGGCGGAACTATCGTCTAGTTATAAACACTTTATACTCTACTCTCTAGTCAGCTCTTTAAATAAAAATAGATATTAATGGCTTATTTTAACCATATTAATAAATCATTTTTGAAGACATTCTCATACAGAGAGAATATTGATGAAGAATTTATTTTGTCACAACCTAGACTATAATAAAGAATGAATTCTAATCGATGGACACAGTGATTTTCAATTAACCATATGTCTCGATAGAAATACTAATAAATATTATGGGTCAATAAATAGACGATAAAATAAAAAAGAAAAAATAACTTTTAACGAACTTAGATATGCATATTGAGTTATTCTTTGGGTGATTGCGTAATGAAATATCGTAATATTGTAATGAAGTGAATTGAAATCTTTCGAATCAAGATCATCTTGTCAGCTGGATATATTGACTGTCGTTATCTATCAATTAGTCTTCATATCCTTGATTGGGCAGAACAATTAATGTTTACAAATAACCGCCCATCGAGCGACAATTTTAAAATTAAATAAGAAGAATTGTTTAACAATTGATCCCTAGTATATAAAAGGCACCTAGATACATATGCAAAGACATCATTTATACAACAGCACGACAGTGCGAGGTGATCTAGTCTGAGAAAAGGTTCGTCTTATCATTAGGTGATTTTATTAGTATTGATGTAACTAAGAATCAACATCATCAATAATTTTAGAGTGATAGTCTGTCCATTTGATGAAAAATTAATTCTATTTTTTCTTCTGTTTTCGTAGCTAAGACAGCCTTCTTTCCTTTGGAAAAGAGATTTTACCAATATATATCGACATTAAATAAATAAATTAATCACTTGGCTATACTTGGATATACAGGATTTAACCAATTAATCTGTTCAAAACCTCAATTCTATACTTGAATTAATCATATTTCTTAATTGATTCACTATGACGGATCGTAACCAACAAAATTGTCTGTCTTGCAGTACACTATCACCTGAGGTAAGCAGTTTTGGACTACATCTTAAATTAGTAAAAAATCTCTTACGTTAAGAATATTTGTATTAAAAATTTTTACATTTGACGATGATCATGTTGTTGATATCTATAATTAATCAAAGCATGCTTTTAATTAACCTTACTTCCAAAGTTAACATTATGTATTTTTTGGCTTTCCTTAATAAGCTTAACAAAATAAGTAGTTCGTAAATCATAATTGTATTTAAAATTGATTTGTCTCGAGTCAGCGAGTTAAATTTCTTACTACATGCTTGCTCAATATATTACTGTATCCTGTTGAGTTGCTTCAGAGCAATAAAAATTGCTTAGTTCTCTATTCAGTGGCTCGGAATGTTCTAAGCTACTTTATTCTTAGCGGCTAGTTTTATACATCAACTTTCTGAATCAATTTATTGAGTTAATTACTTAATACTCTATTTGAATTGCGATAACTTATAACACTTGCTTCATCAAATCTGTTCCATGCTATTCCATCGGACCTTATAAAGGTCTAAATTTGGGGTACAGCCTTTCGTCTGTTCAGAAATTGCTAGTTTTTACATGGCTTCCATAGATAGTTACGTTATTGCTCATTGCAAAATACGCAACAGTAATCTATGAATCATAATTATTACAGTGTCACTACTAGAACATAATGAATGATTACGATACAAGTTGCTTGCACCCAGCTATCAGATATTGCTAATTCAGGCGCTCATCATTTTTTTACCATAAAATAAATTTGATACTTAATGATGATTAAGTATCACCATAAGTTTTCTGACGAGTAATTGTTATCATTGAGAAACATTGTGTTAATGAAGTAGAATATTTAAATTATCGAATAGTAATGATAGGCAGATAATATTTAATTAATTGGAATATTTGTAAAAAGAAACATTTATCAAGTCTGACAAAACATGAAAGATATTAAACAAAATCAATCATTGGTTTAAGTTGATTGATTCGGCATTCCAATTAACAAGTTGGCAATTAATTAAAACAACTTTGACCTGTCATTGAGTAGACGTTAATTTATTCAAATTATGCCATTTAAAAATATAATATCAATGCATATACATAACAATAAGAAGTAGTTTGCATACATATGATTGTTATTTTAATGTCAGACGACGTAACTATTAAAGTAGGACACGATGAAGTAAACGGTTGCATAAATAAAAATAGATATTAAAAAATGATCACTTAAAACACGCAATTGCATCATAGACAATAAAGCAATAGAAAGCATTGCTGCTACATTTGTATAGCGCGTTAGTATAATCATAAACTATTCGATAGCACTAATGAATGTAGAAAATACTATCTATTATGGGTAAAAAAATTGCAAAACGAACTTGTATTTGAAAATAAAGATTGATCAATTTTATGTCGATATTGCTATTTTAACAAGTTTTTATTTTTGATGTTTTAGTATTGCTTTATGCATAGAATGGACGTCATGTCACAGAAATGTCTATCAATTAATCCACTTCACAACGGACAAATTTATCCTACATTGAAATCTAATTTATATCCAACCTTACCATCTCATGAGGGTAACATGGACAACGTCAGGATTGTTGTTGGAGCTCTAGATAAGAAATCAGCAAATCTGTCTGCCAGCAAGAAATCCAAAACGCCGGTCCCAAATGATCGCAAAGATGACAAATATTGGGACAAAAGGAAACGAAATAATGAATCGGCTAAACGCTCTCGCGAAGCAAGAAAGTTAAAAGATAACCAAGTTGCCTCACGTGCTACTTGGTTAGAAGAAGAAAATGTTAAAATAAAAGCAGAAAATGCCGCTTTACGTGAAGAATTAGCTTGTTGGCGTTATTACTTTAGTCAGCCTTTTTCAGCTCAGTCCAATCCTAAGCCTATTTCTGGTATACCGCTGAAACCTTATCTATTTTAATTGTAAAATATATAGACATTTCCAGCGTATGAAATATATAAATTGTTCTTCAAGTTTGCAGCTATTACAGAGTTGTGGAGGGTAGAAAGGAAAGAAGAATGAAATCATTCGATTAGACTGTTTCTGCGTGATTACTCATTCACTAGAATATCAGATTGGATAATAATTCTAGATAGAATGGGATAGTATTAAAATACCAATTGTATCTTAGCTTAGATGGTAACATTAATTAATGCATTTTAAATATTTCCTGCTACTGATTGATGCTATCCTACTGTAGATAGACAACTTATAGTGGTAATGTATGATTTGACACTTTGTAAATTAAACTCTAGAAATTGATATCATATTGACAAAGTTAACAAGTTTTTAGACCGCTTTATTTAAAATTGAAACTATTTTATTTGTACTACATTCTTTGATATTACCTGTCATACGACCATATTCATATCTGAAACAATTATGCGCAACAGTGATAAAAATTATCCAGAATTAGAAGACAAATAATCTCTTTAGTCACATTTCTTCCTTATTCAGGCTAAAATACAATCATCATGGAACATTTTATCATAATCAATAGTTTATTTCTTTGTTTTGTATCATTTGCTAACTGACTATATCAACCTATAGACTTTAGTAGCATTAAGATAGCCGTCTAGTTAATGTTAATATTAATTACATTGCCATTAAAATAAGCGAAGTTAAATTCTTGTCTTTGTCATTGTTCTTATTTCGTTCCGTTGTTTTGTTTGCAGAAAATGATTATCTTATATTAAAGTATATCCATCAAAATAAATAAATTATGTAAGTTTCTCTACTTAAGCACTAAAATGATGGTCTAATTTAATGCGTCATAACACGAAAAATTGTTCCGTAAAGCTATTACGTAATTAAAATATCTATTACAGTACGTATCAGAAAATTACTGGGTAGATGTAAGGGATATTATTATAGAAATAAAATTTTAAATTCTTTATCGAAATAACAGCATACATAAGTAGATAGTTATTAATGACACAGCCATGATCATGAGAGAATTTATATTTTTCTAAATATTGATTTATAATGATCAAATATAATCAAGCCATCAAAACTGAAAAATATTTTAAGGCAAGATATGCAGATTCTTCAATGATGTCCTAGTGTAGTGTTGCTAAATTAATGTATATTTATAGCTGTTACATAGCCATATAAAGTGAAAGAAATACAATTTTAAAGAACTGCAACCAAGATAAAGCTGTTCATATAGCATGTTTTCTAACACTAGCAATCAGCAGCAATACTCTTAGCCATGAAACTACGATCAGGACTTTTTGTTAAGGTTTTTTCATAGCCACTATCAGCAAATATACCCGAGTGCAGGCCCATCTATGATGCCATTGGTAATCTATTTGCAATATGAGTATATTTGAGTTAGCGACCTATAAATGAAGGAGAAGAATTATGCGAGATCGCTGAATATCTTTAAAACTGATAAGAAAGTATATTAAAAGTCTAGTAACTAGAATAAAAATTTACAAGATTCATTGGTTGCTTACGCCCTGGAAATTTGGTATGGAGTATTAGTTTATAAGTCAATTCATCAGTTCTAGAGTTTAATTTAGAGAGACAGTACGAAATTTTATATTTATGTAATATTTCATCTGCAAAGTGAAAGCATTCAATGTAAGTTTATGGAGCTAAGAATTCGTCAAAAAATTATCGATTACTTTTAGATCATTAATTTTATACTCTTTGTACTTATTGTCGTTAGATTAATTATTGTGAAATTGGCTATTGATTTTTATAACCTCTTCATTAGAATTTGTTAGTATTTGGAATTATGTATTATGTATACGTGTGTGAACTTGTATTTAAGTATGAAAAATGACCACTCCATGTTTTAAATATTGGACAAAGAATGATAGCCACAAGTAGCAAGAATATAGCCACAGTTGTTGATATCAAATATAAATGAATTACTGAGTCATAAACTATTAAATCATATCAAATCTACCGAGATCTTTGATCTTAGATCTTATCAATCGTATCATACTCGTATAACCCCTTTAACAATTTTCTTAACACTTGCTGCTAAAAGCATAGATGCATTAGGTATCAGATCAAATGTAAGCTAAAATTAATTTTATTCATGAATTACTGTATTACATAATACCTTCATCATGAGCGCTATGAAATTTTTCCATGTAAAGTGAATCTAATGTTTTTCACGTACATGGCCTCATACGGAACTTAAGAAATACCCTTAAACAATTTAAAACAATCCTAACCTAGTAAATGATCTATCAGTACTGCATATTGTTTTAATAGTAAAGGAGCATTCAAATTCACTCATCATACTCTCATACCAAGATTAGAAAGTGATTTTTCACAAATGAATGCAAACTTAAGCTGACTAACGTCTCTTAATAAAAACTATTATCATAGTATAAGTAATCAAGCGGTGATAAGGCTACTACAGTAAACTAACTGATATTAAACCGCTATAATCCTCATAACCTTGAGCAGTATACGTAATGCATCCTACTATTTCTAATAGATTAAATCATATTATCGTTAATAAGGTTCATGCTAACTGGTGTAAGATAGTTAACGATATTCCGAAAAGCTATTATCATATGGTTATACCAACACGACATTGTTACTATCTTAGCACCACCTAATAAATAACTACAGTATTATCCACTTGGTATTAATTGCTAGACTGCTAGACGTATTGACCATTTCCTTCATCTTTAACAATAGTACTATTGGCTGCTTTTAAAATTTAGTCTGCTTTATCTAGTACTGTAAATCACTTAAGACATAGTTATCATCCTCCATATCCTGCAGATGAAAAGATTTACGATATAGCAAGAAGTATTCGAGGAAACCTATTCATCTGCCAGATTTATTATTAAATGTAAGAATATCGTATTAACCTATTAGGAGAATAAAAAATAAAGAAAAACTGTCATCATAAAGACAGATTTACAGTCAAATTAGTCGGTATGATTACTAAGATAATTCAGAGAAACTTTGTCACAAACCAACTTCGTGACAAAGATAACGCAAAATAAATCTCTAAATTACTATAGTCTCCGGGATTCAGTATTCCTTAACTACCTCACAAGATTTAGACGCCTTTGCTTCTACGTTAAAACAACTATAAAACTCTTCTTTTATTCAACTATCTATTGAGCTTAAATACCCTTCGGCAGCAGCTATCATGTATGAGTCATAACAGTTCACGAAATTTAGCTCATATTGGATGCCTAAATCAATACAGACATTATTCATAATTTTGGACTTTTACTAAACGATTCTAGATAATTAGACTACAGTATGTCCACACACAGAATTATTTATATTATCATGTATAATTGAATATCTTCAGGATATTCATCACAAGTGTTACAAGACATAACACTATCAATTAATATTAGTTACCTTATGAGAACTCTTACTACAATACAGTATAATTTACAGTAACAAAATAATAACTACTATAGTTCTTACTGTAAGTCATTATAAGTTATCTCTATATATAAATGTTAAGCACTAAATTTAGTCATTTACTCTTCACGGTGGCTCGTACTGTGACACTGAACTTTTATACCGAAAAGAGTAATATATCCTTAGTGCAGTACATTTAAACCTGTTCATATTATATTGGATATGGTAAATCATGTCCATCTATTTTTATTTTCAGGACGTTACAAAATAAAAACCTATAATTTAAACTAGTAATCCCACTTATAAAGATTGATAACAGTGTCATTTGTGTTGTATTTGAATAATATATATGAGCGTAGAAATAAGATAAAATATTAAGGCATTCGACAGGTTTTAAACACCAAGACTAGAAATTAGCTTAAACATAAGATATTAAATCAAATGTATGATTTATAATTAATCGTGGCTAAAACAGACTTACTCACTATAGCGTAATCAAAAATTGCATTGATCTGTCAATTGGATAATATATTTCTCAAATAGAATTATAAAAGCAACAATTGCACTATGTGACAAGCTGTAGCAGTTGGCTGATTACAGTAGGTAAAAAGATTAAATTAGCACAGTACTATTAATCGATTCGGCTACTTTAAACTGATTAAATAGAAGCCTAAATCGGCCCATAAATACATTCACAGCATAAAAAATAGTTAATTCTTAGGATTGATAATAGCAATGGCACGCTGCGGTATATCAACGATGATAGTTTTTGCCCTTTACATCATCTTCAAAAATCCAAATGAATCAAATTTGATAAAACTGGATAGATAATACAAATATGGATAAATCATAAGGATAAAAGCTCTATTTACTTTCTCTCACGATCAATAAATTTACTTTCGATAGAAGATTAAGTAAGAAGAATAAATAGCTACATTTAATTACAAATCAAATCGAAATAAGGCCTTATATCATCAAAGTTTTATTCATTAATATAATACACCTTTCAGGCCATCTCTCATAAAAGAAGGAGGAAGCTAATTTTCCTCTATGTTCACTACTCATTATCTATTCTTCTAAGTAACTACTTCTCTATAATATTGCAAATTCCTATTAATTAGACATGTTATAATAAAAAAATTATTTCGTATCTGATTCAATTATCAATTAGCTCGACATTTTAATTTTTGATCAACGCTTAGATTTAGTTCGTCACGGGATTACGTAATTAACAGTTCGTATTTGGAGCGCAATATCAGAGATCTATTCATTTTGAACAGCGGAATTTCAATATTATAACGACAGCTGATATCCTTCATCACCGTTGAGAGACTATCTCTATACTATAATAAAGCGCTATAATAATAATTAATTGTAGTCTTTTAAATTGATGATCTATAACACATTTCCTGCTTATTGCAGCATATAATAAGGCTTCGTTATTACTAATAATAAAAAAATTTATTTGTTGCCCTCCTGAGCCTTCGCCTATTTTTGTCGAGGGAATTAATGATTATAAAATATTGAATGATTTTACTCCTAGGAAAAAAAAAATGTCGTTAGTCATCTAAATTAACATCATCATTATATGTTGCTGCTACATTGACGACAAAAGGTAGCCAAATACTATAATATATTAGGGTTAATAATTAATGGTGAATTGGATAAAAGTAATAAGAGAATAAAGTTATTGTCTTATTGCAGTATAGAATTTGATATGATAACAATACCTGGATCAGAGATGGAAATGTGTTATATTTTATATTATATTAAGTATTAGCCTATTGCTTTTAATCATCTTATGATAGTGCGATAAGCAGATTGTTATTGAATCACATGCAAGTAATCATATACAACATTCAAGCTGAGTCAATAAAATTGGAATATCGCTTCACCAACAATGCCATCAAAACGAAATTCCGTAATGGTCGTGATAGCAACAACCTATTGATAAATAAATGATTAATAGATTAAGATAATGATCGAAGAAGTGGAAGAGAGCTAAGGAAGTACCTATATTGGATAAATTAAATCAAATTTTTATGTGTCCTTTAATTCAAAATCGTCATTAAATTTCATCATCATTATCAACAATCAGACATCGCTCTGTCAATACTATGGTATAAAGTATTTGTATTTAAGCGTATAGTGGTATAACAAACAATATGATATTCAAATAGCTTATTAACAGGAATAATAGTAGGAAGTAACTTGCCATTGTAATGAAGAATACAGGTCAAAGATCTGCCATTTGGAGAGTTTAGTTTAATAACAAGTCAGTAAAATAAATTATTAATAAGCTTATTTCATCCTATAGTTTGCTGTGTTTTACAACCTACGTATTCTACGCTAGGTCAAAGATATGAATTAATGAAGTAATTTTTGCTATTTCTACTTTATCATCCCACCAATGACAGGCAACTATCACTTTGCTGACAGTGTTGTTAACTATCAAGAAAGAGAAGGTAAACTCTCAGGTATTTAGAACAGCTAGCCAACCAAGTTGAATATCCTTCAGCTTACTTATTTCTTACCATAAAGCACCACTACATGAATTAAGCAATTGTACCTTATTTTTTGCTATTATATTTAGCATTGGAAATGAATCAAAAACCTTCATAATACTCTTTCTCTTTAAGGTAAGTGATGTTTCAGCTTATTTACAATAGAAAAGAGATTGGAGCAATATCATTCATAAATCTATTTCGGCCGATGTTCGGCTAGATTCTACGCTATAGTTGATCACACTGCGTAGCGGTATTTCGTGGTTTTTATTTTAGCATTATTGATAATCAGTGGTTGAATTATAGGTTGAATTTTATATCTGCTAATAGCATTTATATAGTGCACTAATTTTACTACATTTATTAGTGTAGTAAGGATTGACATTTTTTCGCTACGTGAACGCATGAAATACTGTATTCAATAATGAAATCATTTTGCATTAATGAATTCAACCGTAAAATGATGTTGATCGGGTTTAATTCGTTATTACGTCAAATGAAGTTAACAAATAGACAATTTCATTATCATTTGCTTTACTTTTACGATAAAATAGAATAATATAACCATTGATCGTATAATTTTGAGAGTAAAATAATCATGGTACCTTCTCGTATTAATATTATGGATTTTTAGTATTTTACCGAATAAGGTATTTTAACCTAGATCATTCTGATTTCATCATAGAATACGACATACTCAAAAAACTTAATTATTAAAATAGTAATTATCAAGTATAAAAAGATGTCCATCGATTTGATGACTAAGTCTTGATTCAAGTGAGAGGTTACAGCATTATACGTATAATAATAATAGATGGATATGAATAGAAGAGAAAAAGAGTTATCGTTTAGTATAAGAAATATTGTCTCGGAAATTCGTTATTGATATATAAAGAACATTGCGCAAGATTTTCTCATTATATCCAAGTCTATTAATTTAGCAATTATTTTAAGTCATAAAAATATATACATACAATTGAATAACATCTGAATTTTTTTCTACCTGATCATTTTTAACTGCTAGGGCTAGATATCAAGAACTCATAATCAATGAATGGTTTTTAAAATTAGCAAAGAATAAAGATATCGAATGTATTCAATTTAAAGCTGGACTACTTCAAAATTCAAACCTCATCTTTATATTTGATTTTTTCTACTTCATATAATAACGTCAACATCGAATTCTTCTATTTTAGAAAGGTTCAATTTTAAGCGCGTATGATCATGATTGATGGAGTTCATTTTAAACTCTGGCATATGACATTGTTGATTACTTCCATAAGAAATCAAGGTGAAGATACGTCATGTTCGCAAGACGAGATCTTTAACAAGGTCGTGTGAAGTTGTTATTAAAGGCAAATCAAGATCATTTTTACTTAGTAGCGTGAATTGGACTTTATTATTATAGCCAGAATTGGTTATCATGAGATGATAGTGTAGAACAATAGATCGGTAGCATAATTCAAGGCATAGGTATTTTGATCTGAAGATGATCAACACAAGATAGCGGAACTTGAAATTAAGTCTTTGCATTGACCATTTTCTGTTAGAATATCATTTCGTTGATTATGGATGTTAATTCAACTACAGATTATAATATTTCTACGCCAGTAGCTGTTATATTCATAATCTATATGTCAATAGCAACCGTTATAGGGGTTATTGGTAATATCATGGCTTTGATGGTTATCTATCATCAATCGTCATTGCATAATACTGCAGGTATCTTAATGGCCAATCTTGCTGTTGCTGATCTCTTAATTACTATCTTCAACATGCCCGCTACAATGGTCAGCTTGATTAGTAGCCGTTGGCCACTCGGTTCAATTAATTGCCAGTTCAGTGGTTTTATGATGACTTTCGCGACTGGCGTATCTTTATTCACATTAGCTGTTATTAGTATTGATCGTTGTAAATCTATTATCAAGCCATTGCGCTATCAGCAACACTACCCATTTCGACAATATATTGCTTTAATATCTTTGTTATGGTTATTTCCATGCTTGATGGCAACGATGCCCTTGCTTGGTTTACAGTCTATTTCACTAGGAAAATATCAATACCTTGATTCAAAGGCTTATTGCTGGATTGCTGTCGATCAACATCGCCCTAACCTTGGCTATGTAAGTTTAGTCATGTTGAGCATGACAGCAGCATTAGCTATCTTTACCACTTGTTATTTTATGATTTATCGCTCAGCCAAGAAGAGTTATGCTCTAATAGCTTCCCTAACACAACTGTGTGAAATTAATCGTCAAAAATTTAAATCTAATTTAAAAACAGCTTCAACATTATCTGTTATCGTTGGTGTATTTATGTTTTGTTGGTCACCGTTAGTCCTCATTGATATCGTTTCCATTTTTGCTCAAGAGCCATTTTATAATGTTGTATCGATAGCTGCACTTCGCTTGGCTTTAAGCAATTCTGCATACAACCCTATCATTTACGGCATATTTAATCAATCATTTCGTAAAGGTTTTAAGAATATTATGATCCATTGCTGTCTCTTAATGAAAAGAAAGCATAGCAACGAAGTAAAGCAATTTTATGCCGAAGCCCGAGGAGCCGATATCAAGAGTGAAATCCGTCGAAAGACTACAATACAGTATAGTATTCACATTGATAATAACATTTGTAACAACCTGCGTGTAAAATAATTTACTTATTAATTCATTTTATTATCAGAGGACTTTAATAATGAGAAATGAAGGAAGATATTTCAAAGTCTTTCCTCTTCCTCTCTCTTTCTCCTTATTGACGCACGGAACGTCGTCTCCATGGCGTATTGATATCAATAAGTTGAAATTTAGTATTGTAATATACCCGTATATCATGAAAAGTTTCGTATTGAGACATAAAGGATGGGCATTTCAGTGGTATTTTCCGCCTCGCTCTCTTTCTTCATAGACGTAGAACACTTGGTCTCTATGTGATATATTTACATAAATAAACTGAATTTTAGTATTTATACATAGGTCATGTGAAGTTTATTATATTATTAAACATGAAGGATGGTATTTCTAGGAAATTTTTTTTTTCTTGCCTTTGTCTATTTCTCTTCCTATATATATATATATACAGTAAATATATTTATAAAAATAAATATAATTTTCGCATGATGATATTCATTTTTTGTTGCCTTGCTTTTATTTTAACATTATCTATATGGATATAAGCATAAATGTAACATATATAATAATACATATATTATACTCTTCTAAGAGTTTATGTATTCTATTAGTTCAATTGATGACCAAAAGCTTAAGAATGCATGTTTCCGCTGTGAAAATGACAATTGTTTTCGAACGACATTTGACTGTGCTCCTCTATCTAACTCTAAATGTGATATGCGTCTATTTTTTAAGAGTAGTAATTTTAATTAAAAGGCTTATGAGAAGGCCTTGTAAATGGCATAGATAGAATTTGATATCTTGTATATCAAAATACTATATATATATATATATCATCTCATAATCGGTATTTTTAGATTCATTCTTGACAGGTTGGCTCTATGCTACCTATGCAGATGTCTTTGATTTCAACGCTGTACATACGGTATAGCAGGATAATGTGATCAGACTTATTTCTTTATCACTTTGGCATGTGCAAATGGAATCTACTAATTGATTATTATCCTTTGAAAAGTTGTTTCAATATATTGTGTCGTATGTTGACACTTAATTCAATTAATTTATTCATTGTTCTTGGACGCAATTTATTCATATTAACAGCCCGTATTGATGGTATGAATACGAAATTAAGGCAAAAAAATAGTGAAAATGAAAAGAAATGATCATTAAGGGTACATCACTTTCGTCATTTAAATTTTTTCCTCCTTATTTGATATTACTGACTTTTACAATATGTATTGTAAGAGGAGTTGTACTTTATCCGGCTGCTTAAGCATATTTATTGTTATTGTTTTTGTTTTCCGCAAACTTGCGTTTTTGCGCATGTATAGGACTCAAATGCCATATTAAAGTAAAGCAATATTTTAATGCGTAATTCGCGTTTTACGCCCGTTTCCATTATTCATTATTTTGAAATCAATAATAAAATGCTTTTCGCAGTCAAAACAGCAAAATGTCATGAACGAATGATACCGGCTAGAATTCACTATAAGATAATCGATATTATAAAAGAGAATAAGAGGATGATCAATTTGATTAATCCCAATACAACGATTGAGGATATTAATAATAAAGTTATTCTAGTTCAGTTTTATACCAAAAATGCGGCTAGATATGTGTATTTAGTTATAGTGTATTGACAATTAAATTCTCCGCCAAGTCGGGCCAAGCGGTAGAATGGTCAGTAGTGTAGTGGAACCGATGTCTATAGCGATCGTTAATTAATTCTTGGCCGTAGAGATCCAAGCTCTGTCCATTCCGAACTATTACAGGAATATTCGATGTATTATCTTGTTGCTGGCTATACACTATCAGGAGAATGTCCTATCCCACCCCAGTTGCATTTTCATTATTAATTAATCTACTATATAACATAAATAAGAATCATTGTACTATTTATTATTGCATGGTAGAATCCATAGAATTTATGATACTCTTGTGCAATTCATCACATTTTGCATTCGATGCACAAAAGAACAACAGCAGTTACTCGGCACGGACTATCTAAAGCATATGGACTATAAATTTACCTGATATTATAAGATCTTATCATCTTCGTTAAATTAAATTTTGCAATTAACAACTTACTCTCGAAATTGCAGTCAAGATGGATTAAATTCAAGTAGCGAGAACTGGTTGAAAACCTACCCGTATTGCAAACAAAAGTATTGTGACAGGGACATGAAATCCACATCAAAAGTCCCTAGTGGTAGGTAGTCACTACATTACTGAAATGGATAGATCAGCGCAATGCATGATAGTGATTTCCTTTTAGTTTATTTCTTAGCCATTGTCGCTAGTAACTTTGTGCTGTGATACACATCGTTAGATAATGCCCGAAATATTATTCAAATCTAACGAAAATATTGCCCTTCATTAACAGTATTGTATATCATGATAGACAGTGGAGAAATGCTGCCTGGAATGATATCCTTTCCTTTTTATGCTATAAAAGAAAAGAGGGTTTTGTATATGACGGCTATAGAATCAAAGCAGAAAGGATATACTAACAAAAAAAAATGACTTTAATGTGAGTAACTGTTAGTATGGAAGATCATTGTCGTCTTTAGAACTGCTAAAGTCTTGACGCTAAAAACTTATTCCATGAAAACCTTTGAACGCTCTACTAAAGTAGCAGATACGCTGCCATATTGTTTTCGCATGCGCAGTGCAATGAATCAGTGTGTAAAAAAGATTCCGTTACGCTGCATAACCAATAAAATACTGTACACTGTACACTGTACACTGTACAGCGGAGTTAATACGAATAACTGTATTGAAAGTTGATTCTAGTCTCAATGATATACACTGACAATACTGTATATCAAAGCATGGAGACAAGAAATTGAACTCGTAGTTGAAGTTATTGCAAAACTAACTACTAACTCTCTCTTTATTGTATTGAAAAACGCCGGCTTCTATAAGTACTGTACAGTACTGTACTTGCGCCATATGTACAGTACAGTACAGTAATTGCAAGAAATATAGAAATGTACTGTAGAGATACTGTACAGTACAGTACTGTACTGTACTGTACTCAATACTGTAGTATCTCTACAGTACAATACTGTACTGTACAGTACTGTACTGTACTGTACAGTATGTTAAACGCAGTTTACAGTACGTACTGTACTGTACAGCGTCATGTTAGTCCTGTCAAGTTTCGGACGGACAGAAGTCACTCCATTCTCCACTGTACTCGTGGTTTTGCTAGCTTACAGCATGGGCATAGCAGAAATAGTTCATGCATCCAATGCAAGACAGCATTAAAATCGCTTGAATTTCTTCCTGTATTGTATATCGATCTTAGAAATTCATTATTATTGTTATCGTGCATAGTTTAAATAGTGAAGCAACTGATGGAATCAAGTACATTGCATACCAACCAAGATCGAAAGACGGTCATTAATGTGGATAGCATTCTTCAAGCCCAGTCTCGTCGATATAAGAGCACTGAAGTCAGCAAGAATATCTTGCCAGAGGTTGACCTTGGCAACTTACTGTTAATCGATCGACAACCGGTGGATCCACAAGAACTTCAGTAAGCCAATGTTGATGCATACGTTGATACTTGATCTCTATGCTTTTGATATAGGTTGTTATAATATACAAACTGAGCCAAAAAGTACAAATGATACAATGTTGGTGCTCAATTCTAGCGTGTGCAATATATTAATAGCTCTGCAGTACATGACATCAAGCTCAGCGTGTAGGTGCACCAATGAAGGAAGGATCGACGAGCTGTACAGTCTATACTGAACTATTTTTAGTGTACTGGTTCTACTTCAACAATCATACTGTAATATATAAAACTCATGCATTGCAGTAGATGATTGATATATACTTAAGTGTACACTCCCCCAACGAGGAACCATGCATGACATTGATGGATTTATTTTTTGGGGAATCGGTATAATTGTCTTATTCAGAATCGATCTTGAATACGTATTGCTTACCCCTCAATTATTCCTTGGTATACTGTAACACAGGTCTGATATAGAAATCTCTCTACAGCAGCTTGCGCGTGACAATACTCAGTGGTTAATCAATGAAATTTGGAAGGTTAGTTGCAAAAGTCCATCCACATCACTTATGTTCAAAATCAGCTATAACATGATTGAATCTAGCTTCAGTAATAATAATGATGCTGAACTGGTCTTGTAATTTTTTGATCTAATTTACTGATTGCAAATCTTGCATATTCTTGATTATTTTAGCTTCCAACCCAACAAATGGAGGATGCACTACTGGTACAGGTTCGTATATTTAATTGCCTCGCTAGCGATATAGTAAAGTCTGCGTTATGTAATTATTGGACCGTCTTTTATATTATTATTATAATGCACAGACAGTACTATAGTTTCAGAGTGTATGCACAGACATAATAAATTCGTTGCTAGCAAGTAGGTGTATACTGTTACAGTGTTAATGAATCACGTTCAATCCTTAAATCTATGAGAATAGAGCTATACTTTACTTTAGATATAGAAAAAATTGCACACACAAACATCAAGTTTTGATCTAATATTATTCTGCAAATTAGGTAATGATATCATTTGAAACCTTTTCATCAAAGTTGCCTACGCAAAGAACAGGTTTCTGATCTAATATCATTCTGTACAGTAAATTAGGTCATGATATCAATTTGAAACCTCTTTCATCAAAAGGTAGCATGCACAAAGAACAGGTTTCTGATATTCTGTAACTTAGACAATGATATCATTTGCAACTTTTTCATGGTGATTGACAGAATTATCTAGTACTTGATCAATTCTGTAATTCCTGTGGCTACGGTATACAATATGTGGTTATGTGGATATAGTGCAAGCCATGTAATCAATTAATAATGTGTGCAATGAAAGAAATCGGCGTTCAGATGCTACATTATTCCTTACTCGACAATAATGATATTATGTAAATTAAATACCAGAGATAGTTTTCAGTTGACTGACATAACTGTCTTATCTTATTACATGTATAATCATGATACAGGTAGATAGAATTTACTGAATATCAAGTTAGATAGCTCGATATCTCACACTATACAGTATTGACACATAAAATATGTAACAAATTTTTAAAGTTACGTGAATCTTGCTTACTTGTATTCGTAATCTTTACTGTATGCTAATGATAATCATATTTCATATTTAATAATAATAAGCTACCTATAACGACTGCTAAGCGGATATCTATCTTAATGAGTCCCACTATTAAATGACCAAAAGTAATTTGTATTGTAGCGTACGATCATACTCTGTCTCATATCATATACATGGCAAGCTCACTACTGCACATTAGTTAATACCTTATGTATGCAGTGTACGTTACTGTTAAAACTGATTACTTGAGATTGCAATTTTATTTCCAACATTAGATTTTGTTGTTCTTGGCTAATGAATTGTCATATTGATTTAAATGGTCATAGCCAATTTTTTTATACTGTATTTTGATTGATACAAACAGCTACCGGAGCCTACGACTATAGTTGCCCGAGAGAAACCGGTAAGTCCTGAAATTTCAAATCCGGAATGAATAAATCTACGGAAAAATTATACTGTACTTGGTTACGCTTTGCTTAGTGCTGGCCAATTGTATCAATGTAATTATTAAGTCCGCGATACGTTTATGTCGTGCTGTCAAGTTTAAGTCTTATGACGAGTCCACTTGCAAACTTGATGCAATCGTTGCAATGTTGATTCATGTTAGCATATCTGTAATAATAGAGTTTGTATATATCTGCTAAATGTCTTATTACGTTTAAGGACGTGCGTTGCTTTATGATTGCGCGTATAATGATAATGTTAAAGATATTAATACTAAATTGTTAGTGCCCCTTTGATGTAATGGCATGTTCAGTAATTGAGGTATTATTACAATTTTTCAATGTCATTCAGTACATGGAAATTAGCATGATATTAGCATTAATTGATTCCGTAATGCTTATTCATTACAGTCCCATCGGGTGAATACACTTTTAATCTTACATATTTTACTAAAATCGTAGCATTAATAAGGATCATTTTATGGTTGTTTTTGTCAATGTAATTGCATAGCAAATTGCAAAATTATTATACAGCCATTCTGTCTTCATAGATACCTAAACCTAAGCCGCCAACAAAATGGGAGCAATATGCAAAAGCCAAGGTAAATTTCTGCACCTTTATTTACATGCACTAGCTGGTCGTAATCTGCAATAATAATAGTGTATTAAATACGTAGGGAATACAAAAACGCAAAAGGGGCAAAATGACCTTTGACGAAAAAACACAGGTACCCCTGCAATTGATTTGAAATTATTGTTTGAAGTACTGATTAGTCTATTGCTATGGTTATCTAACTATCTTTTTAGACTTATAAAAGAAGGTGGGGTTATAAAAGTGTTACAGATGACAGTAATGATTGGGTTAAAGAGGTCCCAGAAAATGCAGGTCTGTGGTCTATTTACAATAGCTACATTGCCAGATATGTTTATATCGAGATATAGGCTTTATGCACTGGTAAATGTGGTTTTTATATTGGATTCGGGCACTTTCTCATTCATAGATCCTTATGAAGATCAGTTTGAAGTAGCCAGGGAGGCTAAAAAGGAACGCATTGCAAAGAATGAATTGCAACGATTAAGAAATATTGAGAGACGACAAAAAGGTAATAAATTTGTTTCTGTTTATTATTTATGTAGGATTTTTTAACAAGTTTGAAGCCTCCAAAGGTATAAATTGTACATTAAAAGTTATCGATTAATGTTAAAAGTATGCTATTTTACTATAGCACATGAATGCAACATTTATAAAAAAGGCTAATTTTATATATCTTCTTGTATTAAAGGTAAGAGTACGAAAACGAAAGCAGCACAGGAAGAGGTTAGTTAGTAGGATTAATGCTATTAAATCGCATTGCATTCGGTATAATTCGAAAACATTAAATTAATATGACTTCATTTTCATTCTAGGTAACAAAGGCCATCAAAGACGCTCAGTCATCGACGGCATCTCACGGTGTATTTACCAAAATATTGGTACGTATCTTACATAATGGTTGAATTGTGCCCATTTTTGGAAGTTTGCATTCGATTCAGTCTTACAGCCATTGTAGCTAATGTATTACATGATTTGATTAATTCTCATTTGGTACTAGCCTCAAGAAAAACGTTTACGAAAAGCTGGAGTTAGAAGAAAGGTTAGCTTTGTATGGTCTTCGTAGAATGAATTAAATGACGTACTTTTGTATTAAATTTTCATTAAACACAGTGTAATATAGATACGTATCCAGTTAAAAGATAGGCATAGATATTTTTGAATAGAATTAACACTTTTGAGCGCGAAATGTAAATCAGCAATCAATCGATGAGATATTATTCATCGTCTTTATAAAGTCTTCTGTTATTGTTTTAATAATTACATTTTTGTTTAGTTACCACCCAATTTAGGAGATGTTAAATCTGAGCGCGGTGCGGGATTAGAAATTGCTGATAAACTTAGGAAGGCTCCAATATTGAACATACCGAAGGTTGTAATGTACTTAATTATAAAGTCGAAAGCTTGATTATACCATTTTCTCACAATTAATTGGTGCTGCTCAGCGTATTTATAGTGGTAAATGACGATTTCGCCATAGAAAGTTATTCTGTTGCAAACAATGAGTAGCAATAATTTAGATGATATGATAATCCTATCTCCTGCGTAAACGTACTACAGTTTAATATCATTAAATTATGCCTCCGGTTATTAAAGTTCTGTTTAGAGCATAAAGGTCAAAGTACTTTTATAGCTATTTTATTACTGAGTGAAGCTGTAACTTCAGCAGCAAACTGGATAATTTTGTGAATGTGATTATACAACTGTTGAGTTGCTCACGTCATTCTTTTCGATATTTCAAATTTTATACTGCAATTTCTAGTACTGTAGAAGGAACCTAATCTTAAAACGCATTTTATAAGTCTAAGTATCGTAAATTGTTGCCATATTGACAATGTCAATTACACTGTATAGTATCATATTAGACAATGATGGTATCTCAGCTTTTTAAGGTATTTTATTACGCATTGGACATAGCCTAGCTTTTACTTTTATGATTTGATTACGTGAATTTGTAAATTATAATTTCGTTAAGCTAATCCTACGAAATTAGCTATAAATGGGTCGCTAATTAATTCCGTTAATTAAATTCTAAAGAGTAAAAAATGTATGCGACATTTAGCCTATTATTGCCTTATTCAATGACAATATTGTATATATAAAATGTAAGATTCTTCGATACCCTTCATAACTTGCCACTTATTTATTTTCGTATTAGGCTGTAAGCATGAATCCAGTTGAGGAAGACGGAAAGTATGTTATCCATGCTATATCGAAATTTGATTAGTTCGTCAAAGCATTAATTACCTGTTAGAGGAATTTTCGAGAATTATTAAGCGTTAAAGTATCTTTGGCTTGATATTTCTTAGAAAATCGAAAAAAGGCAGAAAGTCTAAAGGCAACTTTCGCCAAGGAAAACGGGCTAAAATGAGCAATAGGTAAGGTTGATAAATATTTTAATATGGCTATTATGATATCTATTCTATACGATAATGAGAAGGACTTTTATATATATCAACATCATAATTTTTAACCTTGTTTATTTTAGAAATTTCTCCCAAAAAACAAAGAAAAGTAGTGCTATTAGTAGAAGTAAAAAGAAATGAAAAGTAAATAAATGAAAGAAATGCAAATTTGCCAAAATCGTTTATGAAATTCGTAAAATTATAAAATAGTCTTCTTAATTACTAAATCTTATTGAATTTGTATTGTGCAGTATTGAGCGCATTCATACGATAAATGCCTAACGTAACGGAATACCGCATACTGTATCCGTTGTTATGATCTTTCACATGAGTATATAATCAGATATGTTGTATATCACTTCTCAAAGTGCTGCTCTTAACGAAATATTTATCATTTATGCAGATCAAGATACTGATAATCTTAAATTTAAAAAAATTTTTTATGCAGTAGTGGTAATAGTTCAATCCTTATTATATCTTGCTATCTTTCTCGACTAACATTTTTACAATTGTTAATCATAATATCTGGACATTATTAAATTGGTGATACTATCTATAAAGTATTACTACATTTACGGTCAGAGTTGATAAGTACTATTATTTACAGCTAATTATTTGTTGAAATATTTGGTGGGTTTATTGCAATTCAGAAGTTGTGTAGCTGAAAGGAAAGTTAATGGCAGATTAGAAATTATTTACCGCGGTAGCACGCAGTTAATCTGTGTAGATGATCTTCATTGTGTAATGCAATGAGCTAAAATAAATTGGCTCATTGAATCAGTGCTAAGTATCGTCAATTGGAAAGCGATGCGTACGCGTATAGAAGAAATCGGATATATCGCAATTACGATTTGTCATAAGATGAACCATGTACGGTTCTAATTGCAAAGTGAATAGCTGCGGTATAAAATTGTATTTAGCCAAGGAAGCCTTGATATAGCTGCGTTTGCGTAGAATGTTTATTACCGATAATTCGGGGTAAGTATACAATAATGCGAGCTGGTTGATCAATCCACTTGGTTCAAGTTAGAATAGGTGTTACATTAATAACGGCTATTAAAGTAACTTGCTGATTTTATAGAGGCTAATTTTCCAAATCATTAATTCTACAAATAGCTGCGATCGCTTTCAGCTATTGGGATAATTTCCGATATTTTACGAAGTAACTAAAATTATTCTTTCATCAATTATTATACCTCTATTTCAGTGCAAGGGTAAATATTTATCTAGGAGCCGAAATTAATTCATTCATAGTGCCATAGTACGTATTCAATTTATTCCCGTTCTATATAACAGTTAAAGGGACATAGAACATTAAAGAAATTGTTAAAGGTGAAGCTAGAATAATTACTCTATGCCGGGTAAATTTCTTTATTTTATTACTGTATCTTCCAGACTACTCTATGTATTGTCAGTAGTGGATAGACTTTGAATACAAAGTTATTCGTAAAATTTAATTGATGCTTTTCTATATGACCTTATTCATTGTAATCTATCGTAATACATTATTTGTACCGATGTACGTACTTTATAAAATGGATATTATAGATTTACTGATTCAGAAAGGATACTTAGGTCATTGTTCATACAAGATTTTTAGTTACGCCTACTTTCTTTTTCAGTTTAGCAGGACAGTGGTGTATTTTGTAGAGAACTAATATGGCGCCCGCTTTACCAACTAAATAGAATGTATAGCAGATAATAAGAAAGATTATTTTGATATTGAATGAAACAGTAGATTTTTGCCTTCACTTTACTGTATTAACTGGTAATAAATTTCAGCTTTAATAAAAGTTCACGATATTTGGGTTGCATGGTAAGAAATTTATCTTCTCTATATACTGGATAAACATTTTTAGTCAATATAGCTGTATTTACAAATAAATTATTTAAAAGACAAAGGGGAAGAGGCTAAATTATTTATCATATATTTGACAAGGACGATATATTTTTATTCTTTTTTTTGGACTTGTTGATGAACTGATGCTATTTTAATGCTTTCATATCTTTATATATTAGTAATTATTTTTCTATATCATTGATCGATAATTGCGTGGTAAGTTTTAATATTTTATCACACGACGTTAGTGTTTATCAGAAGGGTGCAAAATTATTCCTTATGAGATACTATGTAACAATTATAGTCGCATTGTTGTGATATCTTATGCCTTGGATTTACCTATCCTTTAAACTACGTTTGCTCACGCCTTACAGTTGTCTCTAAAGCCTTTAGCGTAGATTAAATTATCTATGAAATTAGGAAGGGTTCTATGATATGATATCGGTGTCAGGGCATTTTTATAGCTTGTAGAATTATTATATTGTATAGTAGAATTTCGTATTGAAAGTTCTTCACCAGTACTTCTAAGAAGGTAATATTGCAAAGACGGTTTGATATTGAAAAGCAAAGACTACTTAAAGGACTAGTCATGAAATAGATCAGGTAAAGATCGCCTTATATGTGCAGCAGATAATTTGGTATCGTATAAATTTTAGTACGGCAGTATCACGAAAATCTACTTTACACTCTTCAGAGGTTTTACAGTAATTTACATTTTATGAGGGAATCCTTGCCCGTAATTTTATGAACGCCGTAATATGCTCAATATACAAATAGTTACTTTATTTAAGTGATTTCATTTATTTACAAAGCCTGTCGATATTTGCAATGGTAAAGATAGATTACTTAATTGACGTCAGTATTTCTTATATCATGTTATGAATCATAATACGCTTGTGTAACGCTTAATAATAGTCAATTTTTGACGGCCATGACAAGTCATAATATCAGAGCTTAAAAACACTGCGGCAGATAATTTTGATTGAAATTATCCTGTCTTGCGTAACTTGAAATTATTTTGCTACAAATATCACGAAAATCAACTAAGTTATGAGATGGCATTATTAAATTAGAGGTACACACTGTGCCTTTTCTTTATTCAATATATATCCTTAGTATAAATCTTAGTGATGGTTACAACAAGCACATTTCTTGCAAATTAAAACTGATCTACAACAAAAAATTATCAGGAATTGCGAGCTTACTATCTACATGTGTTTTCATACAGTCATTACTATACTGAGTTTCTGAGATTTACCTGGTTATAGTAGGCTGGCAAGAAATAGTACGGTATTTTGCGATCTTAGAGATTAGAGTACTCACTTCTGAGATCGTATCATCTAATAATTCAATTACGTCAATTAGATGTCAATTGCCTGCCTTTATACAGCACGATAAGTAAGAACTACTATATTGAGTGACTCAATTGGCACACAGAGTGAAAAAAGTGATAATCTAAATTATTAAAGGATTTTTGTTAAAGCGCCTTATACCAAGATCTTCGACAGGATTTTTTGTAAATAAGGCTAAGTTAGCAATAATCACATATGTAATCTTGCAAGTTCGAAAATACTGTACAAGTATAAAGTACGTGGAATTACTGAAAAGTGTTCTAAAATATGTATTCTGATACTACTAACAAGGGGGCAGTAAACGGCTATCGAGCATGACCAATTTCTGAAGAAGTGTTTTCAATTTATTCCAATGGCTTGTGTATTGCAGAAAGATTAGAATATAGAACTGTAAGTAATTATCTATACCGGTAGTTTAGCGATGCATTGCATGTTTCATCGCGGCATCTGTCTATATCACATCGTTTTAATCTACAGTATTTATTTTTGAACATCTAACAGAATGCATTTACAATACGGAAAAATTTATTACTTTAATGTAGAAATGAAATTAAAAATTGCCTGCTATACGAACACAACCAGTTACAGTATAATTTATCGATGCATGTGTGGAAAATATTGTAAAGTAGGAAAATATTGCTAGCGATTAATCAAATTAAGGCAGTATGGAAGCGATTTGTAGAAATTTAGTGCTGTGTACATGGTGAATAATCATAATACATCACATCTATTTAGTTTACTTTTATTGCAGCGTAAAGATTTAGAGTAGCAAAGTATGCGTATATCGAAAAGAATCCTTAGGAATAAAAGGATCCTTATTTAGAACACGTTAATTAATATAATTATTTGGTATTAATCAGAAAATTCTATTACATTTTCTAATTCAATATCTTCTTTTGAGGAAATAATGATTAGATATGACGATCATGTGTTCTAACACTAACCAGTGGCAAGAAATTCTTAGCTGCTATTGATTGAACTAATCAGCTCTAGATGCACTTTGCCGCTAATAGTAAACGAAAAGACATTAATGCTTTCGTGGTAAAATATTTTGTTCTATACATACAATTGATTATAATTATAATTATTTCTCTGAATTTCTTCCATCTAATAATTCAGGATACTCGAATAAAAACAAGCCATGACGAACTTAGTGATAAAATGTAGCGTTTAGTCATCTATTTACTTTTGTAAAACCTTGAATATCGTCTGTGCTTCCTAATTTTATCAGGGGTAAAAAGTTTATGAGTTAAATAATCTATTGCAGTGTAAATTTAATAAAGAAATTTAGAGCACTAAGTAAGCAAATCTAATAATGGATTATGGAATCAGTATCTGTTTACGAATTCTATTACGTAGTTCCTAATTCCACCTAGTAATTAGAGTTCTTAGTGCCACAGGTATAATTGCATTTCTTAGATTACATGTAACATTTTTACTATCTTTATAGTTATATTAGTAGATAATATCCGCATTAATGATATCAAGATGGGGTTATAGCGGAGGTAGCCGAACCCGTACACCCAGCTGTGCACTATCAATATATTAGGTAATATCCGCATTAATAATATCAAGATAGAATTATATAGATAAAACGTATAAAACCCTAACTATAATTAGCTTATATTTATTTTTAAATTTTAATATCCATCAAAATTTCAAGTATTTAGCAGTATTGTAGATAAAGATGCTTATGAAGACGACAGATGTGGAGAATAATTATCTTTTATTGATTGCAGTTGTTATCAATATACATTATTAAATCTGATCATGGCTTTTGTAAATATTTCATTTTAGAAAATTAATAGAAATAATTGATGTCGTCGAACGAAAGATATCATATAGATGTTATGGCATTCGTAATTTTGATTAAAATTTAAGTATAGATGAATCAAGCAAATCTTTCAGATTCTGCGTCAGCAAGTTATGCTGCTGATTTTGATCTATCT